GTGTCATCAAGGAAATGTGAACAAAACGACAACAGACACCAGCAGGCAGCTGCTGGAATGGCCAGGGCCCAGAACTCCAGATGCTGGAGGACAGGGGCAGCAGCAGGGGCTCTTTCATCCCCTGCAGGAACCAAAAACAGAACAGGCTCTTGGGAAGACAGCCAGCTGCTTCTTACAAAAGTCAGCTCCCTCTTACCCCATGAGCCAGCATTCACAGAGGAATTAACACAGACAGTGCACATGCATGTGGACGGCAGCTTTCTTCATAATCCAAATTTGAAACAATTAGGATGACCTTGAGCAGGTGAGTGGCTAAGTGACAATGGATGTCACTCAGCCCTGGAAAGCAGTGCTCTAGGCCACGAAGAGGCCCGAGGAACCCTGGGGGCACATTCAAAGTGAAAGCGGCCAGTTTGAAAAGGCCATATGTGTGTGTGACGCCACCTCCAGGACATTCTGGAAAAGGCAAGACTATGGAGCCAGAGAAAAGATCCTAGGTTGCCAGGGGCTAGGGGAGGAACAAAAAGGCAGAACTGAGTGATTTTTTCAGGCAAGTGAAACTATCCTACAATCATGACACAAAAGGCCAAAGCCACAGAAGGCACATACCACGTGACCCTAATGGACACTACAGACTTCTGGAGATAATGACTGTCTCCACGGGTTCACTGACCATAACAAGCGTGGCTGGGCATTAAGGGGATGTGGACAGAGGGGAAGGCTGTGTGTGTAGGGGCAGGTGGCAAATGAGAAATCTCTGTCCTTTTCTCTCCATTTTGCTGTGAATCTAAAACTGCTCTAAAAAAATTAAGTGCATTGAATTCTAAAAAGAAAAATAGGAAAAAAAAAACAAACAAACAAAAACAAAGAACAATCCACTGGCTAGATGAGATGGGTCCCCAGGGTGTGGGGGGACACAGAAGCTTCAACTTCTGTTGCTTCTGACTATGCCTTTGCTTTTCCACTGGCCAGACAAGCCACCTTCCCACTGACAGCCCCACCACAGGCCTGGCCACAGGCTGGGACACAGGCAACCTGCAGTACCTCTCTCCCTCAGTCCTGCCGGCTGCTGGGCCTGTTCATCTTCCTTTGGGATGTGTTGCTGCTGAGTAGTCCTCATTTTGTTTTACTTTCCCATCTTGTAGATTGACTGAAGTCCCTGCAGAGGTCCCCTGAGCCTTTGTACCTCAGAAGGTGCTTTGTTTACAGATACAGTGGAAAAAAAGACTCACAATGAGGTCACGGGGCAGGGGGCCCTAACCTGAAATGACTGGTGTCCTAGGGAAAGGGCCATTGGTACACCAGGAGCAGATCCTTCCTACACTGCCTCCCTGATTTCAGACAGTGGCCTCCAGAACTGAGTCCCCTCAGCTGGCCCACACGAGGGGCAGGGCCCGGTCACAGCAGCCCTTGCTCCCTGACAGAAGGGTTTCGAATTGCACATTTGCCTTCTGGTTTCCCCCTTCCAAGCTTGAATCCAGGCCCTCCTTGAATGACCACAATGGTGGTTGGGGTCTCCAGCCTCAGAGTTTCTCCCTACCCAGCCCTGAACACGCCTCTGCTAGGAGAACATTCCCAGGACCCTCTGAAGCTCCCATGGAACCATCTCCTCCTCCCCAGCACACACAGACCTGACCTCCCTGAATTCTCTGTTTACACTGTTAATAGCAACTTTCTTCCAGCCTGTCTCATCTTGCCTGTCTCCTGGGGTCCCAGATATGGTCAAGAGGCCAACCCCTTCCACTCACCCCTCTCTCACACTCAAGGCTCCAGGGTCCCGCCATTCACTATCCTTCCAGCCCACTCCTAAGGTCTTCAAGGACAGCTGCAGCTCCTGGCCACACCCACTGTCACAGAGTCCCCTCACAGCCTCACTCACACCATCCCACCACCAGAGGACTCTGGCCCTGGCTCATCACCCCCAGCACCATTTCCAAGTCACACGTGATCCTATGTTGCTGCCACTGACCAGGACAGTGAGCCACATGGAGCCACAGGGTGGATGGTATGCTGAGTGAAGTGCCCACAAAGTATCAAACAACAAAACCCGGGAAGAGAACAACATGCAATTATTTGCAGTTTTCTTTATAACTGCACATAAAAATGTAGGTGGGAATTTATCCAAGTGACAAATAGTTTGTACTGAATGGTAGAATCGTGGGTGAGTTCTTCCACTTTCCTACTGAATTTTATTTATCATCTTCATTTTAAAATAAACTTTTTATTTTAGAATAGTTTTAGATTTACAGAAAGTTTGAGAAGACAGTCGGAAGAGCTCCTATGTATGCTACACTCACTTTTTCTTATTATAACATCTCACATTAGGATAACTATAGGGGCCAATCATTAATGTGGTTTCTAAAACTTAAAAATAAAACCCTTAGTTTTGTAAAGCCAAGAAAACAACATGGAGGAAAGTGTTGGTCCTTCCATGGCCTCTCAGCTCCAATTTAAATATTGACTATTTTCCTCATTTTCAGTGTTACTTCAGACCCTGCTTGGCACGGGTTCCTGACTACAAACTGGATCCAATTCTGCACTTCCTCATTAGCCCATGTGCTTGTGTGTGTAGAAAAGTTAAGAATGTCACTGCCTGGTGATGAAGGTCACAGGAAATGTCCTCTGGATCCTTTGAACAGCGAGCCCACCTCCTGGGATCTCATCTTCTTTGCAGTCCTCCCCAGCAAATCTGTAAGTTCTGCCAGGGCTCCTGCCTCCCTTCACCCCCTCCTGCTGCCTTATGTCCAAGAGCACTCAGTCCACAGCTTGGGACATGGCTAGGTGGTAGAGAGCCTGCCTGGCATACAGGAGGCCTGGAGTCCCCTCCCCAGCACCACACACATCAAAAACAGAAAACCTGAGTCCAGATGGTCTCAGATTCCATAGTCAATAATCAATAATTGCAGGGCAGGGCAGCTCTAGTACTCAGGGCATCGAGTGAATGACTGAAAGAGGAGGGTCATTCCCACAGCTTTGTCTTAGACATCAGGTGCATCAGGAATCAGAGAAAGGCAGTTGAAATTAAGCCTTACTGGGAGAGGATATTAGTGTTCAAACCAAGAATCGTTTCCAGCTTGTTTTAGTGTCTCAACTATAGAAAATGGAGGGTAGATTACCTTTTTTGTTTTTTTTTTTTTCTCTCTCTCTCCTCTTTAAATGTTTCTTCCCTAGTGAGTTTTCTTTGTTCTAAGTGCCAAGTTAGTTTCAAAGAATCTTTCTGTCTCTAGCAGTTAGAACAAATCTTATAGATTATAAAAGAAATAGCCAACTGAAGTAGCTAGCTTTGTATTTCCACTTTTACAGGAAGAGAAGACATTTGATTTTAAAATAGAACTTCAGAAGTCTCAAATAGATCTTTCCTCCTTTTTTTAGTTGATACATACATTTTCATCTTTGAGGACAGTCCTTAGTGATATAGCCAGAACTGTAACACTAATGTTAGGGAAAACACTGATCTACACCTAATCTGAAGTGATTTTGGAAAACCCCTAAAAATAAACACATCATTCTTTTCAATTTCAAGGAAACCTATGTCGTGTCACACACACACAAAAAAAGGTAAGGAGAAAAAGATATTGAAGGCTACTTGGAAGGGAAAATTTTTACTTTGGGTTTATCGAAAAGTACAAATTCAGCAAGTCACTAGGTTGTCATTTCGAGGAAGGTGCTGACTGTGAAAACTGGGAGGAAGAGTCCCACATTCACAGTCTGCAGCTGAGCCCCTGCTCCTCCCCATTAAAAGCACCATTGGCTGTGCTTTGCAATTAAAATTACTTATTCTACCAAATACTAACTTCGCTTTACCACAGAGGTGATCTGCTTGCCCAAGAATATCATTACTGAAGATTTATTATAGACTGATGTTTTTAGAGCAAGACCAAACAAAACTTGTTAAAAATCAACTTGGTTTATGAAAGGAACAGGTATGAACCAGCCTGTCTTGGGGCAAGACATGCTTCTGAGACATTTAATGCTTCAACCAGATCTTAGCAGATTTCAGGGATTGCGCAACTTTGCCGGTATGCCCCAGCAAGCGAACAGAGGTGGGCTGGGTGGGGCAAGAAGGAAGCCTCTGGAAGGATGTGTAGCCAAAGGGCAACAGCAGGATCACAGGCAATCCTCCCTGGGTTCTGCTGCTATGGCTACTTTTTTGGTTATTATTATTTTTTGCACAATCTAAACTTTAAAATAATAAATCATTTCTCATGATCGGAACACAATGAACACTTGCTTTAGGGAAACAGACATCATGTGAAAGTCTGACAAGAGAGATCAGTATGGTAGAGCAAGCAGATTCCAGGAGGGTGGTGGGCAGGGACAGGGAGGTACCAGGAGTGGGATTTGCCAAATGATGTCACGCCCATGTGTGAAAACAGCACAGCCAGTCCCACTGTAGTGTATGATTATAATGCCCAGATGAAGTAATTTTTAACAAAGGATAAAAATAAAAACAAAAGTTTTTTGACTTCTGAAATCTGGAAAAAGTAAAATTTTACAAACCATTATAAAAATGTTGCATTATGCTATCTAGTTTTGTGATGTCTTAAAAAAAAATTTCACACCTAACAACAGCCAGCCAACCACATGAAGGAAAGCTACTCCCCTTTCTAACTCACTAACATCAATTTTCTGTTCTTTGCAAGCTATATGGTTACTACAAGTAATAGAGGTTCCTGGATATACTGCTGAACTGGACACTTAGAAAACATTTTCCATCTTACTTCCTTATGTAGAAATTCCATTATTCATTCTTTAAAAAAAAAATTAGGTGTAGTTGGACACAATATCTTTATTTATTTATTTTTATGTGGTGCTGAAATCAAACCCAGCGCCTCACATCACAAGTGCTAGGCAAGGGCTCTACCACTGAGCCACAACCGCCCCCACCCCACCCCATTATTCATTCTTTATGTTTAAGACTATTTGGTCATTCTTGCAATCCTTCTGGGTGGATTACCATGTAGCTGGGGGTAATAAGAAACAGTTGAAATTTTTCTTACCTGGTCTTGCTCATCAGGATTTGGTGGGCTGCTCAAAGTAACCGTGTCACTCTCTTCAACTGGAGGGGAGGGAAAAAAAAACTCAACGCTTGAAGAAAGCACCCACTGTGGTGTAAGACCCAGAAGGCAGGCCTGACATCACCTGCTACCATGTCGTCACGTGCATCACGTGGGGCCCTGACGTCTCACAAAGCGGTGAGGCCTTGAGTGGCGGCCTGCATGTTCTCTTCCCAACTCTTCCTAAGGTTGGTCCCACACTCCTCATCCAGGGATGAGGCACACTTCTGCCCACGTCTGAGCAGCAGGTTTCAGTTCCTGGCCAGCTCATGGAATTATTAAACCAACCCACCATGTCCTCTCATGGGAACCAGAAGTACCCCATTCTGTGGATTTTACAAAGCCCTGGCTGTCCCCTGTTCCCAAGAGCAACCTGGTATGCATGGTGCAGAGTCCTTCTCCCCATTTGTGAGTATGTGTGGCTTGCAAGCCACTGTCTGTGTCATCTGTCCAGGGCCAAATGTCACGTGTTTGGCCATCACCAGAACCCTAGGATGGGATCCCTCCCTGATCATGGGACAAAGAAGAGGCCATCAGGCCAAATGTCATAATGAACAGGATGGCCCGTCTCTGAAGACCCTTGAAGACATTTGGTCAGATTTGATTGACTTCTCTGATGATTAACTTTGCCAACACACCGAAGGCTGCCTGGGACAGACACCAATGCTGTTGGTCTTGAACTCTGGCCTGGGGTGCTGCATTGTCTTTATCTTGGGGGTTTTCCACCTCTTCTCATCTAAAGTGCTCCCTCATCCCAGATGAAAACTGCTATGACCAAGAGCTGGGTGTAGAACGCTGTCAGTGCCAGCCTGCATCTGGCAGGTGGTCTCTGAGCACCCACCTTTCAACTCACTATATGATTTTTTGAGAAATACAGGGAAGGTTAGAACTGGTCCACCACAGAAAAGGAAATGGCCAGATCTTGATTGATTTCTGGGAACACCTATCTACATGCAAGTTCTCTCCCCTGTCAATAGTGGCTGAGGTATCAAAGTTCTTTGGAAGGTGGGTCACACTTGCTCCAGAGCACTCAAGCCAGCAGTTTCTATGAACAAGCAGGATCTGTGGGAGTAAAGTAAGGCAGTCTCACTTGAGTCCTGAGTCCTGTGCCTGCACATACCCAGCCAAGCCACCAGAAAAGAGGCTCTGCAGAATAAACACCGGAACCCCCCAAGACCTGGGATGAAAAGGAAGGTCTGCATTTTACCCTAGAGAGATGAGACAGGCTTAGTAATAACTCAGATGCAGATGGTTCAAATTACACTAGGTTCCCTGGTTGACTTATGGGTAAATGGCTCTACTTTGGCCTGTGTTCCAGAACCCCTTCATGCTGTTTGTGAATAGAGCAGGGATATGAAAGTAGGATAATAAAGACTGTGAAACATGCTCAACCAGCTTGGGAAAATGAACTTTGAGGACTTTTAAACCATATGGAAATTATTAAAGCTAATGATACATAACTCCTCTATTAAATCAAGTGTCCCCTCAAATCACTCGAATGTTGGAATCCTAGTGGGTACTTAATTTGATTACATTTATCTTGCAGGTCTATAAATTAGTCTCTTTACTAATCCGTATGGATTTTCTTTCTCCAAAAACAACTTTAAATACCAGAAATGTCTAATGATGATATTGTCCCTGTTTGTGAAATTAAAGAAAAATATGAACAGACATAAAATTGTTATATTACTAAATACCAATGTTGGAGTATGATTTCAACTTCTAACAATGGTTCATTTACCTACACAATGATATATTTATCTGGAAATGAGCAATTATTCATTTAATATTTTTCATTGTGAATGAGGACAAAGGAAAGGTCTACGATATGGTTATCAAAGTCACATTTCGGGCACTCACAATGGCTTTCAGTTGAGGTTCTGTGAAATTCAAATTCTAGGAGAAACCCAGCAGTACTACAAGCATGGGATCGGGTTGCTAAACAACAGCCTTTTCCTTTCAAAACAGGAAATTGCAATCAAAGGCTGATAAAGGAAGATCTTGAGTCGGATGCAGTGTGACACTGCACCAAGACAGTCCCACCCTGGCCACTCTGCTTGGAGGGAGCCTTTGAGAGTCCTCTGACCTCAGTTCCCACCATCCTTTGGCCATCTTTTCCACCACCCCTGGGTCACATGTGCCAGGCACCCTTCTGCACTCCCATCAGCACCCTTGGAGGCGGGTGCTCACCTTGTTCTTTCGGCTCCACAGGTGAGGAACTGGAGACCCTGAGACCCGGAGTCATTGGGCACTCTGAGCAGCCCCAGCAAGTCCTCTCTTCTCTGGCAGGCTCTCAAAAGGCTCTGTCCCCATCCCACAGCTGTGAGCTCAAGGGCAGTCCTGGGTCCAATCCCAAACCCAAAAAGCCATGATCCCAGGACAGCAGGGCCCAGGATCTGCATTTCAGACAAGCTCCCCTGATGACTCCAGACTGACTGCAACTAAAGTCTGCAAACCAAGCACTTTCCACTTCTGCTGAGATAGAGTCCCACATGTGGGACCCAGAGATTCTGAGGTCATTCATGGAGAGGGCAAAGGGGAAGGGAATGTGCCTCCCCAGCACAGCCTGGGTCCCAACAGTTTTTTCTGTACACCACTGCCACTCCAGAGGCATGTACAAGAGAATAATGACACTCTAATGGTGTCACTTCAAGGGCCAGCAAGAAAAACCTGGGGGTAGGGGAAGGAGAACCTTGGCCAAACCTGGACTTACCACAGACTGACCCAGGTGGGAAGCTCCCTGTGGTCCCCATGACCACAAGAACTGCCAGGGAAGCCCATGAGAGCAGGAGCTGGGCAGGCCCACCTCCATGGGGATCAGAAGCCAGGTGCCCCTGTTGTTCCTGAAGCTGGACACAACTAATGGTCCTTACCCCACATCATCTCTGGGTGGTCAGCAGAGTACAAGGTAAGTGCTCCCATGTGACAACCAGCAACTTAGGCTCTATAACATGTGACGTGGAAAGCCATACTGTAGATCTTCTCTTTTTCTTCATTCAGTGTGAAAATACTGAGTGCATAGTTTCTCATCTCCAAATTAAAAAGAATGAAAAACTAGGGTCTCGCCCCCCAATGGCCTAACGGTACCTAAACCTGAGACTACGGGTTAGATTTTGTGCCTGGTCAGCCTCCCCTCTCCCTTGCTGGCCACAGAACACTCTTTCCTGTGGTTTGGGTGGAATCTACCTCATGCCCATTCCCATCTGACCGTAAGAACCAGACTTGACCAACCTCCCCCATCCTCCTGATGGTAGTAAGTGACTCGGGATGGACACAAGACCCAACTTGACCCCTCACAGTCATCCCTATAGTGGTGCTATGGGTTCTGGGGAGGCTCCTCCCTCCCCCCTCTGTCCTCTGGAAGAGCACAGCCTGAAGCTGGCAGCGCAGGGGACACTTCCCTCCAGGTGGGGATCTCCTGCCTCACAGTAGGCAGAGCCCTGAGGCAGAGAGACTGAGTCCAGGAGCCTCCTTAAGCATTTGGACCCAGCAGGACGCAGGGGCCCCTGAGCCAGTAGGCCCCTCCCCTACTTCTAAAACCAACTTGTATTAGATTTCTGTCACTCAGGATAGAGATCTGGCTATCTTCATTTTATGCTTAGTAAAAACCCCATTGGAATTTATTTTATAAAATCTGGTATAAAATAATTTACACATTTTAATGAAAATTCATTTGTGAACTTTTTCAGGCTGACATATATATTTTTAATTAATTAGTTAATTAATTAACTTGTTCTGATCAGTCATACATGACAGCAGAATGCTCTTCAATTCCTTGTACACAAATGGAGCACAATTTTTCACTTCTCTGGTTACGAACTAGGGTCACACCATTTGTGCAATCATACATATACCTAGGGTAATGATGTCCACTCCTTTGTGAACTTTTTTAGTCATGTAACAGGTGAGCTAAATTATCATTGTTTCTGTTTGACAACTTTAAATAGTGAAGAATGACTTAGACTAGTGCTTTGTTCGAGATACTAAAGCGTCACAAATTCAAGGAGTTACATTAATCATACATACCTTTAGGGAGTCCCGTGTCTTGAATGGGATATTTGTCTGACTGCAGAAACCAACAAAAGAGGAGAGTTATTTTTAAATGTCGGTTATAAGATCAAAGTGAAAAGAAAGCTTTGTTTTTCAATTTAAAACATGGTTTCAATTTAAAACTTTGGAAATGGTTAGTCTTAGATCTATTAGTCCAGACCCATTGATTGTTTTTCTTCTCAATTTGTAGAAAGAAAATCAAGGTTGACAAGAAGCTAGTGTTGAAACGTGAAATAGAAAAAGGCTCTCTCTAATTTCCTCGGCTTTGACCACTAAACCACACTTCCTCTTTTCTACAGTGCTAATCTCCCTACCTCCTTCCTGCAGTTTAAAGCTTTTATTTCCGGGCATGATGGGCAGACCCATTTCTTCTCCCCATTTCTGTGGCAGTCTTTAGGGCCAACAGCATGTGTTCTGGGCAGTGTTCCACTCTGGGTTTGAATCCTAGGACAGATCCCAAGGTGACCTGCCATCACCTACACGAGATGGCACTAAAGCTCAGCCCCTGACCAGCACAGCTGCCCAGCCTCAGCAGACTAGTGCAGGGCAGCCCCACTACAGGAAGTTCAAATCGCAAATGCTCTTACGATCACACTGTTTAATTCCCTCGTACCTATCTGTTGGCATCTAATGTTCCAGAAACTTGTTTCAGATTAAACAACGCAGCCATTCTCTGAAGACTTCCGTGAGAGGAGTCCCTGTCCTGCCCCAAGCCCTGCTTGGCTCACACTCCATTGTCCCCTGTCCTCCACCCTGAACAGTCACTGTTTCCACATATCCAGCAGGTCCCACCAGGCCCTTTGACAAGGGGAACATTAGTACAAGTGGCCTGTTTCAGTGCCTGTCCATGGAGGTCCTCTGAACTGGGCAGTTAAGTTTCGGGACCTGCAGAAGCATCCAACTGTCTCCCAACACAACTAAGTAGGTCAGAATCCACTGCAGGTAACTGGGAAGACCATTCTGCCCCCAGGAAATCGGCTCCTCTCCTCCCCCTTCCAGAGCATGGAACACCCTGTGCTCTGCACTCAGCAGTCTGGTTGGAAAGCACTCCTCGTTTCCTCAGAGAGACAGTGAGTTTTTCCACAGAAGGGACTATGATCGCTGCACCCCCAGACGTGGACTCAGAAAGACCGTGTGGATGAACACACAGGTGCAGGAGTGCGGGTCTCTAGAGGAAGCGATGCTTGGGTGAGGCAAGCCCAGGCCCAGCACATGGGTGAACCCAAAGGAAGGAGCAAGGTCACTGCGAACAGCAGATGCAGCAGGAGCAAGGGGACCATCAGCCTGAGCAGAGCTGTCTACTGCAGATGGACAGAGGAAGGTGGGGCCGAACATAAACAAGGGAGACAGCTTCCAAGAGGACCATGACCGCAAAGCCCAGGGATTTAGATACAGGTTCTCAGGAAGCTACTTCATCGAATGTCAGGTACTATCAGTCCTGTGCCCGCCTCTGCACGTGGAAGGTGAACAACACAGTGTTTGTGAAGTCAGACAACCAAGTGACTAGAGAAAACGTAAGGGTGAGGTGACAAAGGAGGGAGCACTGAAAGATCCCAAGAAGTCAGGATGCACAGGAGTCAGTCGGGAGGAGGCAAGGGATTTCCTTGCCAGAGGGAATGGCATGATCGGTGTCCCAGGAAGGTGTGAGGATGTGCTGTGGCCAAACCCCAGCAGACAGCTGCACACACCTGGCTCAGCAGGTGAGCCGGGGATGCTCAGATGAAGCCACTGAGGACTCACCTGCCAGGCCAGGGAGGATGCATGGCGTCCCGCACACAGCAGGGATGTCACAGGTTGGATTGTGTCTCCCATAAAAGGACATGTTGAAGTTCCAGCCCCTCATATCTCAGAGTGTAGTCTTATTTGGAAACAGTTGTTATGATGTAATTCATTAAGATGAGTTCATACTAAAGCAGGGGGGACCCTTAACCCAGTAGTACAGATGTCCTCATAAGGCTGGGGTGTGGTCAGTGTGGAGAGCTTGCCTAGCATGTGCAAGGCTTTGGGTTCCATCCCCAGCCCTGAGAAAAAGAAGAAAGAGAGAAGAGACTGCGGTGAACACAGGAGAAGAGGCCACCTGCTCACAGTGTGAGATGCAGGGGAGACGTCCACAAGCCCAGGAGGCCCGGGTGGCCTGCGACCTCTGGCACTGCCCACACCTGACCTTGGACTTCAACCTCCAGGCCTGTGACAGAACACATGCTGTCGTTCCAAGCTGTCCAGTACAAGGAGGGTTGTTCCCACAGCCCTTGGAGACTAGTAACAGAGATGCTTTGGTAGAGCTCACTCACCCCCAGGGTGGAGAGGTGACCAGAGGGCCCACATTAGTGGTGGGGAGAGGGGCTCCGAGGAAGGGTGACCTGTCACCAGGATATGAATAGGAGGCCTTGACACTCCCTGTGGACCAAGGGATACTTTACAGGATGACAGGCCACATCTGAGAGGATCCCAGTCACAACCCAGGTTGTTCTGCATTGCACATGTATGAGGCTGAGAGAAGTTTTCCTTATTACTTTCCACTGTGTGTCAAAGCTTGATCCCCTCGCCACCCATGCTTACCAAACTGCAGGTCCCTGGCACACCCGGGAAGGGAAGCCACTTAATCTGATGACACTAAGTATATCTTAGGTCATTGGCACTTTCCAGGTCTCAGTGGCCCTGTCTTCAGAAGCGTGGAAGAGAAGGAACGTGGCATACACTGTACCACAGAGACAACTGTGCTGGTGTCCAGGGCCATGACTGGGTTCCAAACAAGAGGCACAGGACAGCAGGGCCCCTGCTGTACACATCAGCTAACTGCTACTTCTCACCTGTGGAATAGGGACAAATACCTGCCCCAGCATCTCATAGGATATTTGGTGGGTGAGAAAAAAACACATGGAGAATCTCTGGCAACCCAAAGCAGTAGAGAGTGCAGGGAAGGCAGGCCAGGAGCCAGCTCTGGAATTAGAGGTGACACCAGAGGCAAATCAAATAGCACTTGCCAATCTCTGCTCAGCTGCTGCAAGAGTCCTATTTTTTTTTCCTTCAATCTTACATTAAATATTTTGAGTTTTGAAGAGGGATTAGTAGAAAGTAAGACCAATATGGACTGAGGGTATACCAGTGGCAGAACACTTGCCTGGCATTTGCGAGGCCCTGGGTTTACTCTCTAGCAACACACACACACACACACACACACACAACTAGTATTAAAGTAGACAAAAACCTCACAAAATCTAAGAAGGTCACTTCTGGTATGCACAAAACAACACCATTTTAGCCTGGAGAAATTCAAAGTTCATTATGCCATATAAATAAAGAAATTTCTCTTGGGAGAATCTTGCTGTTGGGTTTCTAGACCTCATAAAATACTCTAATGAAAATGGGAGAGAAATACAAAATAAGGGGTGTGGCTATGAAGGTAAAATGTGTGACCTACCACGTGAAAAGATAAAGTGCTGGGGTCCGTGTCTTCTACTGGCTCCTTTGCCATCTGATCTGCAGAGAAAAAAAAAGGAAAGCATTTTCCCTCATGGAGAAACACTCGTGGTACCTCAGGGTTATCCTCCTACCAGTGTGAGCTATGACGGGCAGCAGGGGCTAGAGAACTGCTCCCTTTCCATCCCCTGCAGGCCAAGTGAGGGGCGGAATCAGATTGTGCTGAGAACAAGAAAAAGAAACCTTGCAAAACACAAACACAGAAACCTATGCTATTTTGGAACATGACACCTAAAAATATCTCCAAATAATCCAATTATGCAGATGTGATATTGACGACTTTTTACATATTGGATTGGACACAACTTTGGGCAGGAAAGATTTAACTCTGGATTCAGCTTCTTTCTATTCTTGATAATTTTAAAATTTTTTATATCATTTTGAGATACTAGCATTCCTTAGAACACGTAACCTAGCATGAATAAGACTGCAGGTTTAATCCCTGTACAAGAGAAAATAAAATTATATGCTGTTACGATTTGAATCTTAAATATCTCCCAAGGCTAATCCCCAGCTGAGCCTTGGGAGGTATTGGGAGTTGGGTCCTAGCTGGAGGAAATATGTTGCCGAGGACATGTTCTTAAAGGGTTTATCTTGTCCCCGACCCCTTCCCATCTCCTTCTGCCTCCTGGCCAATGTGAGGTGAACAGCTCTGCTCTCCCACACCCCCTCCCAGGCCCAAAGCAATGGAACCAAGTGACCATGGGCTGAATCCTCTGAAATTATGAGCCAAAATAAATCTTTCCTCGTTTCAGTTGAGTTTCTCAGGTATTTTGTCACAGCAATGAACAGCTAACATGTACATGCATGAAGCTTTTTGATGCAGTTCATGGGAACTTTATTTTTTTTTAAATTTTTTTATTAGTTGCTCAAAACATTACAATGATCTTGACATATCATACATTTGATTCAAATGGGGTACGTAATCTTAATCTTATTTTTCCACGTGTACAGATTGCAGGATCACATTGGTTATACAGCCACGTTTATACATAGGGCCATATAGTGTCTATTGTATTGTGCTGTCCTTCCTATACCCCCCTCCCCTCCCCTCCCCTTTCTACCCAATCTACTGTGACACGTTTCTCTCTCTTTTTTCTTCCCTCTCACGCCATCTTATATGTAATTTTGCATAACAATGAGGGTCTCCTACCATCTTCTGTGCAATTCCCCTTCTCTCTCCCATTCCCACGCACCTCTCGTCCCTATTTAATGGTAATCTTCTTCTCATGCTCTTCTTCCCAGCTCTGTTTTGAGTCGCCCTCATGGGAACTTTAATAAAGGAAATATACCTCATAATATTTTTATCAAAAATTGATCTTGATTTCTCAATATTTTTCTTCTTATGCTTTGTCAATGCTTTTTTTTTTTTTTTTTTTTTTTTTTGCATTTAAGAAATCTAATGAAGAAGTACAGAAAAAAAATCAAATGTGGAAATATAGAAAAAGGTACGGGCCTCAATCAGACTACTGCCAGATCATATGAATTTGTACACATAAGAAATAGCTCCCCTTTTCTAAGATGCTTTACAAGACACCTGCCAGAAAACCCTAACAATAATCAAATCTGCTTATGCAAGGTCTTCTAGATTTGTGCAGTATACAACCTGTATCTATCTACCACCAAATTTCAACAGCCAAAACATTCACTTTTTATCCAAATTCTCATTAAGTACATACTGTACATTAGGCTCTAGGTCCGGGAATACCTCTGGGGATCCAGGTGAGCCTCACAGGACAATTTTGTTTTATTGATTTGCTTTTTATTGATTTGCTGCATTATAGTTTTATGAATAAAAGTGGAATTCATTGTGATACATTCATACATGCACATGATATAGCTTTGTTAATATCATTCTGGTGTTCCTTCCCTTCTCCATCCCTTCTTCCTCTCTCTCATTCCTTTCCTCCACTCCACTGTTCAATGGGACCATTTCTTGAGACAATCATCTGTTTGTTCTCCCTGGATGTTTCCCTGCTGAGAGAAGGTCTGGACTTTCTATTTTCTTTGCTTCAAGTGTTGACAATGTCTAAAGGAGATGCTCATGGAGGCAACATCTCTATTTGTTTTATGACACCAACTGTCAGTCATTGGAGAGAAGTGGGGACAAATGGAGAAAACTTTGCCCAGCGTCCTCCTTTGACAGGGGGCCATTCCCTGGTTGCAGCAGAGCAGATAGCAGTAAGACCACAATGGAGAAAGCATGGAACAGATTAGACCCTAGCTCAGGATCCACCCAACAATGTAGATGACTGTGCGTAGTGTCCAGAAGACACAGACGTCCTCTGACCTCACAGGACCTCTCAGTGTGGACAGCATGGATAAATGCCTACCTGGAGCAATGTAAAGCCAAGGTCCCTCCTAGAGTCCAAGCACCACATTAGCCTCAGGTCCCTCATGACCCTAAGGGGAGGCAGAGCACCAATTCTATCTGAAATGGGATTTCCTGCTGGTCTAATGCAACACAGACTCAGATTTGAAATTAAAATGACATAAAGACAATACAAGACAAATTGTGTTGTAATTCCACCCTGAGTTTGTAGAACTCCTGCTGCCCAGGTAATCAGGGACTAGCACAGGGCACCAAGTGTCTGACAGTGGAAGAGAAAGCTCCACAGGGCAGTGGAGCTGATGCCTGAGTCCTCAAGAGCCAGCTGACCAGGAGGAGCTGAGAGATAGAGTGTTCTAGACAGAGGGACTAGGTGGCCTGTACATGTCCTGGGGACAGGGCAGTGGAGCTGACGCCAGAGTCCTCAAGGGCCAGCTGACCAGGAGAAGGAACTGATAGGAAGAGCATCCTAGACAGAGGGACTAGGTAGGCCAAGGCCAGGAGAGGAAAGAGAATATGCTTTGGTGGGTCCTTCCAGCCAGACAGCCCAGATCTCATTTCCTAGTTTTTATTCTATGTTTCTCACAATCTTGATCCTGGCTGGGTCAGGGGCAAGAGAAACCATCATTAAGCAGCTTCAACTCCCTTCTCTGCTTCTCTTATCACAGCCTCTCCTCAAATATGTCATCTTCACTGAAGGGGTCCTGCATGCCAGTACTTTAAAATGCCACACACCAGCAGCAAGGGATTCTAGCAGGTGTCGACACAATGGGCTCTCAGGTGCGCAGCTACGCAGAACTTGGGGTGCACGGGCTTAATTGCCTCAACTGCTTCCTGTAAAGACACTAGGTTAGTCTAATTTCTTACAGAAGAATTAGTATAAGAGGGAGGAAAAAGAAAAAGACTTGGAGGAAGATGGAGGAGACCACTGGGAAAGGCAGCAGAGAAAAGCAAACAGAATAGCTAAAGGGAGGAGTGCTGGGTGAGGTGTGGAGGTCTGGGTCCACACCAGCACTCCACCGGGAGCCAGGGCTGGCCTTGACCAGCCTGGTGCTTGACCTCAGACAGGCCTGGATGTGACCTTGACCATCCTAGTGCTGTGACCTCAGATAACCCTGGAGGTGTGACCTTCATCATCCTGGTGCTCTGACCTCAGGCAGGCCTGGAGATGTGACCTTGACCATTCTAGTGCTGTGCCCTCAGATAGGCTTGGGTGTGACTTTGGCTAACCTGGTGCTTGACCTCAGTCAGGCCTGCAGCCTTGGACCAACCCAATGCTGTGGCCCCAGGTGAGCTTTCCCAGCCCCAGGCTTCTCCTCTGCACAGGACAAGCCCAGGTCTCTCACTGCCATACAGGGCTGATGACAGTTATTCTGGTCCGGCCAGGTCTGGGAAGCACAGGTGTGGCACCCTGCTGCTGCTCAGGTCCTGAGCAACTTCAGGGCCTATCAAGGCACATCTGGGAGGGCTATGAGGCTGGCCGAGATACAGGTGGAAGACAGGGCCTCTTGCTTTGGTCTGACACCTCTGGGAACTCACAGAGGCCGAGAAGGGAAGATAGGTAGAGTCCAGGGTTTCCTGTTCTAAGTGCAGCAATTGGTGGGGGGTGTTAAGGACTCACATTAAAGGCATTTCAGGTCTCCCTTCACTCCAAATACTCTGACCATGTCCCCCTTTGCCACACAGGACTGTGGAAGAATTCCAAGGTCCCAGCTGCCTGCAGACCCAGGCCCATGCAGCATCCCACACTCTGAATCTGTTCTAGAACCTTCTCTGGACAGTTGTTGTAGGTCAAGCCGAAGTACTTCTATTCTCACAGGCTCAGATTTTTCTGTGCCAAGAAAATTACTGAGCCAGGTGGGGAGGCGGCTCCCAGTTGTTTGAGACTGATCTAGAAGAGAAGTTTTCCTAAGGTCTTACCTACAGGCCTTGGAATTGCATATTTGCAATACTATTAAGTATGATATCAAATTGTTTATTTAAAGCTTCAAAATGTTTGTTTCCATAATTCCTGGGTAGTAGCAGGCGGAGCCTGCCAGGCAAGCTCTGGTAGTGCATGGGACATGGGGCACGGAGGGGCAAAAATGGCCACCCTGCCCAGGCTGGCAGGGCTCCCCTGCTCCTGTCATTTAGTGCCTGGTCAAGCCTCACTCCCAAAGCTGCCCAGACTCCTCAGGATCATGGTCTGACCAAGCTCAGATCAACACGGTTCCCAGGCTGCCAAGACGCACAGCCGGCCTACTGGTTAGTCCCTGTGGAGAAGCAACAGTGGAGTGGTGGACCAGCAGCCTGGGTGAGTTGGAACTCGGGTGGCAAGCGCAGCCCAAGGCCACTTAGAGCAGGCAGAGCAGGCCTGAGGCACCTCGGGCCAGCACCAAGGTGGCCAGGGGCAAGCCTATCCGTCACCCCACAGCAGTCTGGCCTGCACACAGTGGGGATGCCTCTGCAGATACAGAAGTGCACTCTAAGCAGCGTGGCCGCTCTAGATAGATACCCCCTGAGCACGTGCATCAATGACTTCAACCTCCAGTTTCAAGCGGGGAGAAAAGGGAAGCAAGGCAAATCTGAATGGCATTCAGGGCTGACCAACACCATCGGTAAGTTTCCAAGCCTAAGTGTGGACCAACATCAGCGAGACCAGCACACTCAGTGGGAAACGGCGCTGAATGCA